TTTATTAGTTATAGTTTTATTTAGTAATGTTAACTATATTTTTTATATTTATTATTATTTATTAAAGATAGATACTGCAATTAAAAAAATGGCACAATTGAGTTGCAATTTGTGATGTAATTAAATTTACTTATGACACAATTATGAGGACTATTTTTAGTTATATTTATTATTAGTATTTTAACTTATATAAATATCATGTATTTTTCTCTTGAATTAAAAGATAACTTGAGATTTTAGGAAAAACTAAGAGTTTAATAAAGGAATCTTATCAATTCATTTGCTATTATGTTTTGTCATGTCTTCACATAGGCGTGATTGTTATAAAAGTATTGCGTTTAATTCGACGTATTGAATTAAAGCGAATTGTTTTCTTTTTATAGCAACAATAAACAAAAAGACTACTTTTAATACGATTTGAAAAATATGAATATTTGTAAAAATCTTTATCTCGCTTGTTTTTATTGTAATAATGGTCACGTCAATTTTACATAAAAACAATCGAACATGATCAAAATCTTAGGTATGTTGAATGAATAATTGAGTATTTTTAATCATTGGCCGATGAGTAACCTGAAGAGTTTGTTAAAGAATTCTTTAATGCGGTCTTCCAATTTTCTTTTGAAGGATCTTGCCATGTCGAGAAATTTTTCCCACAATGTCGGTGGTGCAGGCGGTGGTGCAGGAGTTTGTGGTGTAAGAGGTTTTGATTGTAGTTGCGCTTTTGATCATTTGATATTTAAAAAAAAAAAAGAATGTCAAAATATTATTCTCGTAAATAATTAAATAAAAAGGCTCTCTTAACTCACATATCCATTGATCTATTATACCTCTACGATTTGAATCGTATTCTCTCTGATTTATGAATCCTGCATCAAAAGCTTCCTTAAGTTCTGTGAGAGCTTTTCGAAGACTCATGTTTTCTGATTTTATACAAATGGTACTATATGAAATCCTGTTTTCTTTTATTTATAAAAATGTAGAATTCCGAAATAGCTAATGTACGATAAAATTATGTAAATATGACAACATAATGTGTAATAATTTATAATGGCGTTAACATAACAAAATAATTTCGTAAAGGTGAAATCATATTTACCGAACAGTTTAAAATAATGGAATTTCCATTATATAGCCAGTATACGTCGTCACCAAAAATCATCACAATGGATCTTTGTTCAAATTTAGAAGAAAACAAACAACGATTTGATTCTGGTAATATTAATGAGGATGAATATAACGAACGTCGAAAGTCGATCCTAAATAAATGGAAGGAAGACATCACCCCGAATAAGTATGGATCTTCTTCACACTCTCATGGTAAGTGACAACAAAAGAATGTTTTCTTTATTATTCTACTTAAAGTAATAGTTTACCATTATTCGAAAGAATCAGACTTGTATGGGGTTCTCCAATTAACGCGCAGCGCAACTATAGCTGAAATTAAAACAAACTACAGGAAACTCAGTCTGGAGTACCATCCAGATAAGAATTGCGGTACTGAAACTGAAGAGGTAAAGATTTGATTTTATTTATTTATTTATTTATTTATTTTTTTTTTTTTAACTCCTTTCGCTTATTAACTCAATATAATAATTACAGTGGTACAGGCTTTCAATGGCATATAAAATCCTCTCAGATGAGAACAGGCGCGCTCTTTATGACCGTTACGGAACAATTAATGACGGTAGGTCTCAAGACCCTTTGTTTCATTTAATTATTTCCACTAATTTGAATTGATCTTAGTCTATGCAGGTAAAGCATCGTTCAATTGCCATGTAGGAGGAGACTCCTGGAAACCCTATATTGGCGATTTGGAAAATGGCTTCGGACTATTCTCATATGTAGATGATAAGAGTTTACCTGAACTAAAATACATAACATCAACTGAGCAAAAAGAACGTCGTCATCACATTCGTATATCCAACATTGTCAATTACTTGCAAGATAAACTTTCTCGATTCCCAGAGCAAGACAATTCTTCAGAGTTTGAATCGTTTAAGCAAAGTCTTCGCCTAGAAACTCTGAAACTTGTTGAGGAACCTAACGGCGAGAATTTACTATCCTTATTAGGTAGTATTTACGTATCAAAGGCCGAAGCCCATCTAACCGGAATTTATTTGTTTGATCGGCTTAATTGGATTATAAAATTGATTCCAACTTTGAGTGAGATCTTTGGAACGGGAGATGAGGTGAAAATCTTGTTTAATTTTTCCTACTAATATTATAAATCACCACACAATTAAAGATACATTTGAAAAATCTTAGGTCACAAAAGTAGCTTGGCTTTTTTCAAAGTTAGAAATATCTTCTATCGCACGTGAAACCTGTGAGAAAGCCTTAAATAACAAGGATTACGATAACCATCGTCTTGCCGATTCACTTAAAATCTTGGGAGGTTTATGGGTACAGACAAGCGAGCAAAATTCGACGTTTATTTGGAAAAATACAAACATAAGGATGTTCTTGGCTTTTTGTCTATTTATTGTTCCATTAATGTGTGACAGTTTCAGAAATACATATTAAAATCAAAACCTTTAGTAAAGTTTAATTTATTTATTTTACACATTTTAATAAAGGGGAATAAATGTCAAAGCAAAGTAATATACAGATAAAATTTTATATGAAAAATTTTAAGGGTTCTTTTAAAACCATTTTTGATGATTTTAGGATATTCTGGCCTTTATTACATAAATCTATAAAATAAATTTGTAAAAACCAGAAAACGGTTATGTTCTCAATGTCAAAAAAAGGTATTAAAAAAGCTCCAAAAATTATTCTCTTTCTGCAACATGAATTGAAATTATAAAAATCTAAGTTGTAACCATTCAAAGCAAAAGTTCTGATAAATCGGTAAAATGTCCCGTATAATGGGCGTAAATAGAGGTTGGACTCGAGTCAGATTTTTATGACTTGACCTTCAACTCGAGTGCAATATGCGTTAGTAAAAAAGGGGATTTTCATTAATTTTAGTTTCTAAGCTAATTTTTTATTGACTACCAAGCTTGCACCCTCCAAAATAACATACCGCAGCATACCATTACAATTTTCAATTTTTTTTTTTTTTTATTAGTTATATAAAAATGAAACGAAACATCTTTTTCTTATTATAAATTTGTTATAATTAAAAGAAAGTTTCTTTAAAAATGAAATCATTGAATTTATGATTCAATTACAATTTTGTTGAGCCAATATTCCCATTACCTAACCCGAGTTACTCAAATCCTAACTGCATGTTGAAATTGTAATAAATGGTTTTTGTGGGAAGGACTTCACATAACTACGGTAGCAATCGAAACGCAATGTCCTTTGTGTCGCCTTTATAGCCTTACAAAGTTCAACTATGTAGAGACATTGTAAAATATTTCAAGGACATGATGACAGAAAATGGAGAAACATCTTGCCGAAGCGAGTTGTTTATTTAACAAATTATCAGCTCAGATATAATAAAATTTTGAAGATGAAAGGGGATAATTAAAGTTAGGGTAAAGACTAAATTTGAAATGGATGTATTATGCCTCTGCACAAAGTGTACAGTAGACGAAAATTTAGATATCACGTGTATCAAACAGATATATCTTATGTTCCATTTTCTGATTATCCGACTTCGGAATATACAATCAAAGCAAAGAAGTATATTATGTTGATTAAATTATTGATCTAGAAAACTTTGAATGGGAACTTACGAAAGGTATCCTTTGAGATACATGCATTTTAATATCCCATTTATTGTACACTTTCAGATCGCGACGGCGTCGAACAGAAATAAAATTTTTTTTAAGAAATTACAAAACTGATGGAGAATTCAAAGAAAGATTGCATAAATTTCTCTCTAATTTGTAAACCTTATGAAGGTTTAGGTCTTACATATATTAAATTCGTTTATTAAATATAATGAAATTGAGGATACATACAGTATCTCACAAATATATTGACTCTATTAAGCCATTTCAATATTAGCATTTAATTGAGAATTACTGTACTAGTAAATTTTGATGTATTATTGATTATGTTAATAATATACCTAAAAATATTACCAATGAATTATTTAGAGACCCTGTACAATAAATAACAATAACTTATTAAACATGAGTTATATAAAAATTAAGATATAAAACAGGTTATATTCGAAAAGAACCTTTAAAAATTTATTATCAGATAAGAAAAGTTTGATTCTAATAAATTTAGTATTATAAAAAATTTGATTGAATTTATTAGATTGAATTACTCTTAACAAAATTCTATTTAACACAGTAAGAGGTACAAGATTTATTAATTATTAGGAAATTACAAAAGAAATTTTTATAAATATAATTCGTTTTTGTCTTTGTTTTAGAAAAAGAATTAAAATATCTTCTTTTAAAAGCCCATTACAGAGGTAGTAATAGTAGGTTTTTTTTTTTTTTTATTTTGATAACGTTACAATTTTACGGCTAATTATTGAACTTGATTTACAATGCATAGTAACTTTTTAGATTACCCAATAGAATATGCGGAGTCTGTCATTGTCACTATTCGATATTTCTTTTTATATCCAGAATCCCAACTGTCCAAAATCCCAAAATATATATAATCCTAACACCCAAAATCCTGACCTATACTTTTTTTTAAAAAAAAAGATAAAGTAGCGTAGTATTGATTGATACATATATAATTAAGCAATAAAGTAATTTTAATATATTTTATTGTTCTTTTAGGCATCAAGTATTTCAATTAATACTATTATTATTAATATTATTATAAAGAAAGAAAAAAAAATTATTGCTACTTTATTATTTAGTTTAAGACCAGATACAAGATTTTGCACTATAACTTCTTTACAGAGGAAGAAAAAAGAATTATCAACGGCTAGTTTTGATAATACGCATCAAAGATATTAAATATATAGAACAAGATTCAATAGCGATAGTAAATGATAATTATACACGAATTTTATTATATTATACAAATTTTAATGACCATAGCGGACATCACAAAAGGCTTATTTCAAAGACTTTTTTTTATATAATGATATTTTCATTAGCTTGTTGTTTCTCAATGGATTCTAATAAAGAAGCGTCAATAACATTTTTTTCAATAAAGCGTTTAAATGTTTCCAAATATAAGATTCTTTTTTCTAAACCATCTAAACCATCTTCTAAATCAGGCGGTTGCACACTTTGTGAGAGCTTTTCTTTTGTCTTCTCTTCGATTCTTCTGAAGCCGCAGCATCCTTTATGTATAACCCCCCATGGCCTCATTGAATCAACACCTAAAATGTTTAAAATAAACAAGCAAATTACAATAATTTAACAAAGAAAAATAAAGTTAATTAAATTAAGCTTACCAAATAAAAATACATAAATGAACACAATAGAACTATACAAAGCAGCAATATTTCCTAATATGTTTATAACCTATTTATTCAAATGATAGATGATGATCACTTTTCACATACGGATTTCAAAATTTCAAATAATTTTTAAGATTACTTACACTACCACTCCTAATATATTTTTATTATTATATACGCAAATATATTAACAAATGAATTCAGATCAAAAGTTAATTTTATTTGGTAGATGATTTTTACCTTTGCTCCTGTTCCTCTTCTATGATAAAGCTTCTTGGACTAATCCGAACCGTTAAATAGTTCGGATTTGAAGAAATCATCGGAGCACTCTCTGTAGATATTTAAACAACGATCATAGTGTTTGCAAAAAGTTAAAATGTATTATGATGATATGAATGAAGCTTTTAAAACATAAATGTCCTTACGCATAATTGATTCAATATAGGGTTTCGTAAAGTACGTTCCTGCGAAACCGATGTAAGTTAAAAGTGATGGAAATAGCGTTTTTCTGAATTTTCTAGAGAATCCAAACTTATATATCTGTGATTTTTATACGTTGTAAAATTCAAGGAAGATGAATAAATGCTTGTCAGAAAAAAAAAAAATAGTTAATCGCGTTGTAATAATACATACAAAATTTTCAGCTACGGTGTATTTATTTAGATAGAAAAGTGATTCTTCAAATGGAGTTATTGGGGCATTACTCTGCGTGTCTTCTATTTGTTTAATGATAAAAAAACTCGATATAAACAAGGTCCGTACGACTTTATGAAAAAACACTTGCATGAATCACCTGAATCAAAAGCAGTCATCCTAAAGGATGTTTCTTGATTGGAATCATTCAGATTCAATAATTCATTTTTGACGTTTATATTAAGAAAGACAAAATGTACTCCTTCATCTCCATAACCCGTCAAACTTATGTTGCCTAAAAAGTTTCCAACAAAAGAATGGTCTATATTTCCCGTAAATATTGGTTGTTGGACATATTCATCGCACTTTTCTACATTTGCTTGAAGATTTTAAAACAGCATTAATATTTATTATGATATGAATAAGTAATAAAGCAATTAATCGTAAAATTCTTACTTCCGTGATAATCGATTGCTGCATTGTGATTCAACATTGAATTTAATTTTTAGTGATATTATGATCCAAAAGAGGAAACTATTTTTACCTGGTGCAGGTAAACTATCACTTGTCGTAAAAGTAGAACTAATAGTAGGTTTCTCATTTAACATCTTATGGCATAATATTATAAAGGAAGCAATCAATAAATATTAACGAAAACAAAATTACTGAACGTCGAAACCACCAAATCGAATCTGCTTCAGTTTTTTGCGGTTTGTTATATAAGTCACGCAACATTTTGTTGTTGATGCTACTTTTTCCTTTCAAAACAAATGAATGAACGACGAAGAAATAGAAGAAATTTATAATAAATCAGTCGTTAAACTGTCATACCCAAGAAGTTCGAATAATGAATATTTTAATGATTACTAATTTAGTGAATTTGAAATTTAATTTTTTTTTTCTTTCAAACATATCTATATTCAGAAATAGTAACGTTTAAAAACATAAAAATTATGTCGTACAAAATTCCGTTTGGAGACCTCAAACTGACGAATGACATTTAATTGATTTACAAATGTTCGAATTGAATCCGATGATTGGATTTTTCAAGACGAATCACATCTAATTGATTTACAAATGTTCGAATTGAATCCAATGATTGGATTTTTCAAAAAATTAACAAAAAACTATTTTTTTTTTTGATATCTAATAATCGATTTATTAGGGTTATTAAGTTACAACAAAAAAAATTTTAAGATATTTGAACACAGCAGCGGACGATCCATTGGAATGTCTGAGCATTTTTTAAATGAAATTGGAATTTTTCATCAATTTCCTTTGTGTCAGAGGTCAAAGCAATGCAGATAATAGCAATGCAGGATATCTTTCAGAAAAGAACTCGTATGCTTAAAAGATGCTTATCCAAAGTGACTCAAATAAAAAATATACAAAGTACCTTTGCAATTCATGACAAACTTGTTGTAACTCACACAATGTGTATAGAAGTGTTAAATCTTCGTTCATATTCAACAAATTGCTTTGGTATGACGAAAGACAATACATGCACATGTTATTATAAGGCATTACGAAGATGGACTTGCCAGATTTTTTATTAATTTCTACAAAAATTGCTAATTTAATTATATTCTTTGTTAAAATTTTTACCCAGAATGTACACATAGGATCAAAATAAAGAGGAGAAAGGAGGAGAAAAAATAATGTAAGCACCATATACTTGAAGAAATATTATTCTGTATTCTTGTCAGAAAATTTTCTTTTTTTTGCGTTAAAAGCGCGTATTAAACATTTACCTTATATTGGGTTAGTTACGTCATTTCTCGGGCGGTAATTCAGATCAATACGGACATTGCTTAGTGCTTCTATCCGCGTTCAAAGAGCTTTTTGTCCAGAGCGTAGCGAAGGATTTTCAATAGGATCGTCTGTCCGGCACGTGATTTTTGTCAATTTAGACTTTTTTCCTCACATTAATAATTATATTTTAAAGTTCCTTAGCTCCGGACACACAACAGTTCCAGTTAGCCTAGTTATAATTATTTATGGTAATTCATTTTAAACAAATTCACATTTTTACATTTTCTTAAAAAACACGTTCGAAGAAAATAACATGCAAAAGCGCGCGTTTTTCCCAATGGATATAAGAAATTTAGATATTATAGGAAACTTTCCATATGCGCCGATCTATACCCTAACCCTAATTTTGAGAGATAACCCCAAATTTTGTTGACCAATCAAGATGACAGTCAATCATTTGATACGCGTAACACTATACAATAACGATCAAATTTTTTTTTTAATTTTTTCGTTTAATCAATTCTTCTAAAAAATGTTTTAAGTAAACTGTATAAATATTCGTTGATGTGCAGAAAGCAGATAATTAGTTAGTATTTGTCTTTTTTATGATAAATTATCAATGATTTCAGTTATAGTAATTAATTTAATTTATATATCATGCCTGTATTTTAACGAAATGCATCCA